CAACCATTATATCTGATTTGACAGACCACAAACCTTGCAAAATAACACCGTTTCCTACCAAGGATGATTCGCTAGGCTATAGAGAGTAAAAAATATCGTAATTTGAATAAAAATGATGTCTGATTGCTACCATTTGCTCGGGATCCCATAATTTTTTTTTTAATTACCAGACTTCAAGATGTAAGACTGTAAGCTCGTTCTGTGCAGATTGGACAAAGGATTAATTTTTAAAAGGTACATCGGGATGTTAAACGCCTCAGTCCTCCCGTAATCATACATGATCTAAAGCGCCTTAAGTGTCGGGAGTTAAAAAGTTGACATTAAACGCAATCAAATTCATCAAATTTGTTACATTTAAAGTAAATACTGTGGCCACGCCTGAATACTAAGATCAAATGCCTCGATACCTGCAAAAACGGTCTCCGGTTCTCATCACAAATGAACACAGCAACATTATTCTGCAGTTTCACGGTGGTATTTTGTAATAGCGTAGTCCTACTTCGATTAAGCCGACCCGCTCCTCCTATTAGCTATGTATATGTAGCTGTAGCGTGGCTTCACCACGCTAAAATCTTACATCGTTAGCCTACATATTGCCTGAAGTTTGCTATAGTTGCCACGCTTGGCAGCAGCTAAACCGTAGATCCCCTTCCAAGTGCTAGTCGGACTCGCGCATGGAGGGTTCCGTACCATCGTAAAACGCGTTTGTAGCAGGGGAGCTGCCTTTAATTTTTAAATTATTTTTATTTTTATTTGTTGTTATTGCGACAACAGATTATTTTTTATTTATTATTTTATATTCTGTGAAAATTTCAACTGTCTGCCTATTACGGATCATGAGATATAGTGCGCTGACAGACAGAAGGACGGACACCCACCCGAGACTTAGTAATATGGTCACGTTGGTTACCCTTTGTGTACAGAACTCTAAAATTGACTATTCCGGGGTGTACCTTGTACAAGTACTACTAGTATCTTACCATATAGAAGAAGACCCTATTATATTTTCCAGATAGAAGGGTCACACCAATGGCTGCGTCAAAGTTGTGAAAGTACAGACAGAAATCTGCCGCTTGCTAAGTGTGTCAATTATTGGAAATCACGGGATGGATTTGAAAGAGATTGACCCATACGGTCGTAGGCATTGTTTGTTTCTAATATAAAAGTGAAATAATTAAAGCAATTTATTGATTACGACAGAACTCGTCAGATATACCTCAAAACTTGAAAACAATATTGTACAACCGTGAGTTTTGACAGTGATGACATATGGATCTGAGAGGTGGTCCTTCTTTACAACTTGCCGTATGGGGAAGCTCAAGGTCACTCGACTAGAATGGGCTGGCCGTAGAGCTCAAAGAATCGACGACCTATGGGGAAGAAAGTTTCTCAAATGAGAACAAAATTTTTCGTGGCCACAAAGTTTTAGAAGGGCGGGCACAATACCACAGCATGAAATTACTCGCATTAATTTCCACGATATGCCCGGGTATCTGCGAACGGTCGGTATATATTTGAATCATATATTATTTTTTATTTAAGGTTCTCATCAAGTGAATTATTAATACAAAGACATAACAATGATTTGGTATTTTCATTTTCTATTCCTGTTCCTATATCATTCATCGATGAGCTAACAATAGCACTTACTACGTACGTACGTACTAGTAAGTACTTGAATCTAGTTACTTAAGAATAATCCTATTTTATTATTTTTATTGTTATTTTTAGAATAAGGGTAACAAATGAGCACTTACTTTTAACGTGGTAGAGCCATGCTGCAGCTATATTAGTAGCATAGTTGTAGCATTAATGGGTAGGCTCGACCGGGGAAGGACTACGCTCTCACAGAATACCAGCGTAAAATGACAGCTTGACACCCCTGTGTTTCGTATGGTGAGTGTAGAGAACCAGAGACCCATTTTACTGGAAAAGAGGCATTCCATCTTAGTCCTCACGGGTGACGACGCATCTGCATTTTGATTCTTTATTTAGGATAAATGTAGATGTCACAGCAACCACTTACCATCAGGTAGACTGTGTAGTGTTATGCTATTTACATATCATTTTACATTATTTTAAATTCATTTTTCCATTCTGTTTCGATTTTCTGCATTCACCTCAAAACTGGATATTTTACATCACCTTTATTTCCATAGGATCCTGTAACGATTTTAAACCATAAGAACACAATAACAAATCATTTCTACTTCGTATTTTCACATTATCAGCACTTTTAAATTGGTGTCAATGGAGTCTACCTTTTTTCGATCTTTTAGCTAGTTTTCCGTAACTCTACAATCTCGGGCTTTGTGTGGGCAGCTGCGCTACCTTTTTTCCTATATCAATAATATCTCATTTTCCACTTAAATCTTGCCGTTTTCTTATTATAAACCTAAAACCAAAATTTGACATGTTTTGACATTGTTATTTATTTCGTTTCCATAGTAATTATATTCAAATTTGCTACCGATCTGTTGTTCCTATTTCGATAATTCCACATAAATACTCTTTTCTCTTGACCATTTACAAAAAATTTGCGTTTAATTTAAATAATTTTTCCGTTCTCTCTAGAAAGGTATAAAAGCCGAACAATCGGTGAAGAAAAGCAGTCTCGCTTCAGTTCGCGAATTGGAAGTATCTCCTAAAGGCCTTATCCCGGGGCCACACTGCCCCGGGATCCTGCAAGCCTCCACCTACACGTGAAGTCTTCGGCGAAGCCTTCTTCAAGCGCGGAGCCGCACCACTCCGGAATCCTACAAGCCTCCATCTACCTCGGAAGTCGTCGGCAGTCTACTTCAAGCGCGGGGGCCACACTACTCCGGGCGCTACGACTGCTTACTCCAGGCGCCGAGTGCACCTACCGCCGGCGCTACCTTTGGGCGCTGCAACTGCTGGCTCTAAGCGTTGAGCGCCCCTTCTCCAGGCGCTACGTGCGCCGGCTCCGGACGCTGCGTGTGCTGGCTCCAGGCGCTGCGCGCCGTCGCTGCTAAGAAACCTACCTCTACAAGCGCAACCGGCGTGTGCTGGCTTCAGGCGCTGCGTGCCGTCGCTGCTAAGAAACCTACCTCTACAATCGCAACGTGTGTCGCTTCTACTTTTAGGCTCCACTACAACTCTATATTCCCCTATTCTCCTACCTTTATTTTTTTTGTAATCTAATTGTACTCTCACTTCATTCATCATCATCCTCATTTCATTTTTTTTATAAAATTGTAAATACCTTTTAAATATTTAAATATATTGTTTTCTGGCTCTACTTTTGTTGTTTTGTTGTACTTAGGTTAGGTTCTATTTTTTTTTAATTGTCGCTTCACGACAACTGTGTGCTCGTTTGTCAGCCTATGCTATATAAAAAAAAAAAACCAAATCCACCTGAAGGTAAGTACTGTGACCCATAGACATCTACATTTATCCTAGATTGAGAATGGAAATGCAGATACGTTTTCCCCCTAAGGAATGGATCTCTACTACCTACTAAGTTTTAGAGCAACAATGCATCTGATTGAAAGTACCAGTTTCTGCTGGTCTCGCTAGATTACCTTACCGGGGTATATTTGCCATAGTTGACACGTTTCACACGAGAGTGGGCAACCGCAGTTTTCGATATGAATCATCTTTATTGACGTAGTGGAAAAATTTAGTACGGTATTTAAATAAAAATCAAGTTTTCTTGTAAAATATTCTTGTAAAGTAACCTTGTAACGTTTTCATGTAACGTTTCCTCGCCGAGGCTGAATGAGTAAACTATTATTTAATCTACTTATGTAAAATATAAAATAAAAGAAGAATTATAATATGTCGTAAAGAAGTTTCAGTTCGTACGTGTGTACCACAGTTACACGAACAATTTGGTGCTTAATCGAGAATTGTAGTGGTACTACTTCTTGGTCAGAATAGGGCAGACTAATGAAATACCTTGTTTTTTAATGATAATTTCTAATGTTTAGTTGATGCTGTGACTCACAGAAACCTACATCTATCAAGAATGAAGATGCATTTTTGTTGCTACTCCTGAGGATTTAAATGAATTGTATTATTACCAATAACAAGGGTCTTCGGTTTTCGATAATTACCATATAAATCACAGCGGTATGCTGCTATTTCACGTTAGTATTCTGTTCAAGTTTTGTCAGGTTCAAGTTTGGGAAGTCAACACATTCGTGTCTCTAGATGACATCGTAGCCCGTTTGAGATTTTTCGTATACGTTACCGTACCGATTCTCACCCTCACTATATGTTGCTTTCCATTTTCTATATTTATACTTAAATTACTCTTAATTACTTACTTAAAAGTTACCAAACACTGTAGGAGTATTTTGGAAATTTCGAGAGCGCTTCTGAAGTTCTTTTATAACTATAACAATGTCTCGATGCAATACTATTTTATTACAATAATGAATTAAAACAAATTCAATACAATATTGACTTCTAAAGATAGTTGATTACACTATGTGAGGACCACAGAACACTAATACCCTTAGGCGGGAAGAATGTCAACTTCAAACAAAGAAAATGGCACCCATAATGCACGCCATCTCTGTCGTGCCCCCTAAAACTTTTTGCGCGGGAATTTTGACACGTGATTTTTTTTTAGTTGTCGTCTTGGTTGTTTCGTTTCAAAAATGGCTTAAGAATGTAAAATACCATATAGATAGTGTGATGTATTTAAAGAGTGATAATATAATAATATAAGCGGGTAGGGAAAGAATTGTCAGTCTGCTTTGAGCGATTAAACTGCCTGCTACGTAATTCGTATTTTATTGTATATTTATTCCTAAACAGTACAATTTGGCGACGAGGATGGGATAAGTCTGGTGTGAAACGACGGGCCCTGTTACTAACTGCGCTGGTGGAAGATACGTATCGGGTGGCAAGAGATCTTGCCTTCCCAACTGAATTAGAAAACATAGAGTACAAAGTACTACTAGAAAAGTTAAGTGTACATTTTGTCACAAAAAAATGTTCATTTGCGGAGAGATACAAGTTTTATCGAGCAGAGCAGCGACCTGGCGAGGACTTGGCGGAGTGGGCCGCGCGGGTGCGTAGCCTGTCTCAGTACTGCGGCTTCACTTTTGAGCTGGAGACGGCAATGAGAGACCGTTTTGTCCTGGGTTTGGAAAACGTAAAGGAGAGAGAAAAGTTATTTGCTGAGAGTATCATGGACTTGACCTTTAGCAGGGCTCTGGAGCTGGCACAGAGTGTGCGGTGTGCGAGATTCGCTATGCAGAGCACTAGCGTCACCTCACAACTAGGCGTTCCCGCATCTCCTCAGGATGTGTTCGCGATGCATTCCCGTGGTGTAAACAAGTGCAGTGTTTGTGGTTACTCAAATCATAGCAAAGATCAGTGTCGATTTTCGAGTTATTCATGTAAGAAGTGCCATAAAAAAGGGCATCTTCGTAGAATGTGTAAATCTTTAATTAAACCTAATAACTATATCGCGGCGAATGACGATGACATCGTTCAAGGTATTTATGATCTATTTACTATTAAGTGTAATAACGGCGAGCCGATGCGCCACATGGTTTTCATAGGTGAGACTGGCTTGGTTTGTGAAATTGATAGTGGTAGTGCAGTGTCGATATTACCATTTAGAGTTTATGAAAACTATTTTAAGAATATTTATAACCTAAATAAAAGCAAAGTAATACTAAATTGCTATAATGGTAGCAAAATTTCTCCTGTAGGTTTTATAACGGTACCCGTTACGTACGAGTCACGTATTGAACACATTAGGTTATTTATTATTCAAACAAATAATAAGCAACCAGCACTATTAGGGCGGGACTTTATAAGCGCTTTTAATTTACAGTTATGTACAGCGAATTGCAACAACCTGACCATCAACACAAATTATGACAGTATATTAAGAGAAAAATATGCCAAGCTATTTTCAAGTGAATTAGGAACATTTAATAAGTTTAAAATTCACTTAAAATTGAAATCCGACGCCGAGCTAAAATTTTTTAAACCACGTCCTGTACCTTTAGCTTTAAAACCTAAAGTGGAAAAAGAGTTGAATCGTTTACTAGACTTGGGTATCTTAGAAAAAGTGAATCACTCAAGGGTGGCCACGCCCATTGTCCCAGTTTTAAGATCAGACGGGGATATTAGAATATGTGGCGACTTTTCAGTAACATTGAATAAAGTTTTATTTATGGATAATTATCCGTTGCCGCGCATTGAGGACTTGTTTGCTAAACTTCACGGGGGAGAACAATTTTCGAAATTGGACCTTTCTAGAGCATACAATCAGTTGGTTTTAGATGACACGAAAGAATTAACCTGTATAAATACTCACAAAGGATTATTTAGGTACACCAGATTAGTGTTTGGTTTGTGTTCTGCGCCGAGCATTTTTCAACAAACTATGGAGAATTTACTTGCTGGTATAGAGGGTACGGGTATATTTCTTGATGATATTTTGGTTACGGGCCCCACAAAAGCAGTACATATGGAACGTCTAGAGCAAGTATTAAGTAGGTTACAGGATGCAGGGTTACGGTTAAAATCAGAGAAATGTGAACTATTTAAAGACTCTGTTGAATATTTAGGTTTTATTATCGATAAAACGGGTCTCCGAAAATCAAAACAGAAAGTAGATGCTATATTAAAATGCTGTAGACCTAAAAATGTAAGCGAGTTAAAGTCAGTTCTAGGCATGATTAATTATTATAGATGTTTTGTGCCGAATACATCTGCATTACTTAGGCCTTTGCATTCCTTACTTAAAAAGGGGGAAAAATGGAACTGGAGTAAGGAGCATGACAAGGCGTTCGAATTGATAAAAAAAGAACTAGCGTCTGATCGAGTGCTGGCTCACTACAACGCGTTGCTGCCGACTATAGTGACGGCAGACGCGGGTCCGAGCGGTCTCGGCGCGGTGCTCGCGCAGCGTCAGCCTGACGGCACGGAACGCGTCGTAGCCTATGCCTCGCGTTCACTCACTCGGGCGGAATGCAATTACGCTCAAATCCAAAAGGAAGCCACCGCTATTATATTTGCAATAAAAAAATTCCACCACTATTTGTATGGCCGAACGGTACCGTTTATCCTAAGGACGGATCATAAGCCCTTACTAACCATTTTCGGAAACAAAAAGGGTATACCTGACATGGCGGCTAATCGGCTTCAACGGTATGCGATCTTTTTATCTGCCTATAATTTCACATTAGAGTATGTTAGAAGTGACAGCAATGTGGCTGATTTCTTATCGCGATCTGTAAATCAATTACAGAACGAAATTGATAATGAATGCTCGGATCTTGATAAAACATTGTATATTAATTTTATAGATAACTCAGTTTTAAAACCAATAACTGTGGAAGATATAAAAAAAGAAACATCCCGTGATAATCTTTTAATAAAAGTGTTAGAGTTTATGCGTAACGGATGGCCTCGGAAAGTGTCAGATCCCTTATTAAAGCCATATTTTAATTGTCGGTCAGAGTTAGCCCTAGAAAATGGTTGTATCCTGCGGGGCCACAAAGTAATCATACCGTCAATATTCCGCGAGCAGCTATTAAACGAACTACATTCTTCACACTTTGGCGTGGTAAAAACCAAAGAGCAGGCCAGAGCCCGGATGTGGTGGCCACATATAGATAGGCATGTTGAGGAAAAAATAGGGTCGTGTTCAGTGTGTAATAAGTTTCGATGCGCACCTCCGCGCACACCTCTTGCTTCCTGGCCCTACCCGGCACAGGTATGGGATCGTTTGCATATAGACATTTTTTCGTTATATGGTAGAAACTTTTTAATTGCAGTCGACGCATATTCTAAGTGGGTAGAATGCTACCAACTTACTAGTACCAATAGTGAGGCTATTATTACTAAGCTATGTGAGATATTTAGTCGGTTTGGATTAGTAAAAACCATTGTATCGGATAATGCCACAAATTTTTGTTCTGATGAAATAAATAATTTTTTTGTTTCTAATGGAATACAACATTTGACTATCGCGCCTTATCACCCCCAATCAAATGGGCAAGCAGAAAATAGCGTTAAAACTGTAAAAAGAGGAATCAAATTAATTATAGAGGAAAATGGATTAAATAATCAAATTATTTCAAAAAAAATTAATAAATTTTTATTTGATTATAGGAACAGTCGGCATTGCACTACCGGTTTTTCTCCAGCTCAATTAATGTTAGGGCGCTCCTTGCGGTGTCGGCTCGACCTGTTATCAGTCACTACTGAATCGTTACTGCTGTCATCGACATCCGCCGTAAAAAAAAATGTTTTGTCTCAACAGATCTCTCAATGTAAGCAGTATGGGGGCCGTCGTACAACTTCTTTTGCTATTGACGATAAAGTATTAGTTAAGTGTTTTTATAATAATGGTTCCAAGCATGTGTGGAAACTTGGAAGAATAGTTAAGAAAGTTGGCTCTAGAATGTATGTGGTAAAAATTGAAAAATCATGTAAAAGTTTAAAAAAACATATTGATCATCTAATAGCTTATAAAGGAAATTGTACATTACAAGATGACGTAAATACGGATATTTCTTATACCGATAATGACGTCATAGATTATTATACACCTTCTGGAACTGCTCGGGATACAGCGAAAGAACAAAATGTTCAAAATACCTTACAATGTACTCATTCTATGAACGATTCCTCAAGTAGCGGTCTATTGCCCCCGGAATTAGAACTAGGGGAGGAGAGGATCGTTAGCGTTGGGCCGAGTGATACGGTTAGTGCGGTTGGTAATGTCTTGACAGACTCAGCTCTTCCAGAATCTGTTTCTGTACAGGCCACGTCCAACCAGGCTGTCACAGAGCATTCAAGGGGTGTCCGTTCTACTAGAAATAAGAATCCTATTTATAAAGTTTAGTTTACATTTTATTATATAATTCTGTACTATTGGTGGAGGGAACTGTGATGTATTTAAAGAGTGATAATATAATAATATAAGCGGGTAGGGAAAGAATTGTCAGTCTGCTTTGAGCGATTAAACTGCCTGCTACGTAATTCGTATTTTATTGTATATTTATTCCTAAACAGTACAGATAGATATAGCTTGTAGTTTTTTGTTTCAATGATATATATTGCTAAATTAAAACGAAAACAAAAGCACAAGGTTATTTGTAAATTATAGTACTTTACATTCATAAACCACTTTTGAAACGATTAGCAATCATTTTAATATAAAAAAGGAACTATTTTTCAAATAAAAGTGGTTTTTGAAATACATAATTTTTATTTACATTACATACTTGTCTACATTGGTACATAGAAAAACCGTTGGTACATTGATGGACGTAAGTGACGGAGTAATTAACTAATTTTTAACATTTTTAAATGGAAAGTAAAGGTACATTGGTTTTATATAAAAAAGATTAGACAATCTAATATAAACACTTTTTTCTAACAAGAAAACATTATTTACCTTCACATTCTACAAACAAGGCAATAGCTTTGCAATATTATGTCTAAACTCCAATAACCTGATTATATTATAGATGCCACCAATAATATTACATTTGTAGAAATTATTTTCGTTATGTTATTGTTATTGACTGCATTAAAAACTAATAAGTCAACATTTTCATGTCATTAATTAGCACTACCTGCTGCAAATCCATCCACGAAAAACAAAAAGGATAAAGATATGTTGATAAAAATGAAATATCATCTGAAAAAATAAACCGGCTTCAAAAAACTGTAAAGCATCTAAAGAATGAAGCATTTCTCAAAGTATTGAGCAAAAATGATTCCGTAAATGAAATATTAAAATGTAAAATATCCCCCTCTTTTGCATTATTTTTGCAAGGAGAATGGCAAATTTATAAAAAAAAATCAAAAGGTCGAAGATGGAATATGGACTCCAAAATAATAGCACTAAGACTGTATAAAAGGTCACCTAGGTGTTACAAATGATTAAGAAGGATGATTTGCCTGCCAACACCTAGTTCATTAAAAGCGTTATTAAGCAAGTTTCATATGAAAGTTGGTATTAATGACCAAATTTTTAATGTTTTGAGTATCTGAGGCACAAGAGAGATCACATATTTTTATTGACTTTAAAGAATATAGTGATCTAAAAAATCCCTTAAATACACCTCTAAAAACCTCATTAACTGCACAAGTGTTAAGCTTGGTCTTGATAACCCTCAATTATGTCCTCCTTTTTGTTGTAAAACAAATTCTTTTTTATTGACATCTCATCAAACATAAGGATATACTCATTGTCTGAGGGAGTCTGTTGCTTTATTGTTTTTTTCAAAACATTAAAAATTTGGTCATTAATACCAACTTTCATGTGAAACTTGCTTAATAACGCTTTTAATGAACTAGGTGTTGGCAAGCAAATCATCCTTCTTAATAATTTGTAACACCTAGGTGACCTTTTATAGAGTCTTAGTGCTATTATTTTGGAGTCCACGTTCCATCTTCGACCTTTTGATTTTTTTTTTATAGTTTTGCAATTCTCCTTGCAAAAATAATGCAAAAGAGGGGGATATTTTACATTTTAATATTTCATTTACGGAATCATTTTTGCTCAATACTTTGAGAAATGCTTCATTCTTTAGATGCTTTACAGTTTTTTGAAGCCTGTTAATTTTTCTCAGATGATATTTCATTTTTATCAACATATCTTTATCCTTTTTGTTTTTCGTGGATGGATTTGCAGCAGCAACAGGGTTGATATTCTCAGTTACTTGAGGAATATCACTAGTTTTGTCAGGAATGGTTTTATAATTTACATTCTCACACAAGGGTTGTATAAATTTTGACGGACCCGCAACAGGCTCAAATACATTTGAAACAGTTATAGTCTTCTGAATATTTTCAGACAGTGGTTGTTTATTAGTTGATGGACCTGCAATATGTTGAATGACATTCCTTTGTTCCAAATTAAGGTCAGCTAATGTGATCTGAAAATTAGAGATTATCAAATCATTATTTATATCATGTATCCCAGCATTGGTCAACCAATCTCTAAATTTCAAACAGCCTTATAAATTTAAACATTAAATACAACTTGTTTTTTTTAATGAATGTTGCTTTAACACCATTACCACCACCATCCTATTTTTAAGACACTATTTTAACAATTTCTTTTATTTGTAAATATATTCTGTAAGTAACTAAATTATAATCATGTCATTTAAACAACATTGACAGCTCGCGGAGCAGTGGCTAGCATTGAGTTGCGGCACTAAAGGTCACAGGTTCGAATGCTGCACAGAATAAGTATTTGTAAGGGGGTCAATTTAAAATTGGTTGCAGATAAAGTCGTCCCTGAGCAAAAATATTTTCTTCTCGGTGATATTAATTAAATTGTTATAATATTATTGAATTTGTCAAATATGGGGCGAATTACTAAGCTTATTCTCAAGAAAAATGAATTTTATTATTGATTTATCACCACTTTTATCAAGTAACAGAGTGGTCATTCTTGGTAACATAGTTGTTTTCCATACAAAAAAATTCTGTCCCATATGCAGTGCATCATGCAAAAATCATAATATCTTTTTATCAATTCAATGTAATTGTTATGTTTGAAAGCTAGTGTAATAAAACAATCATAACACATTTAAAAACATACTTCATCCATATTAAATAAATTAGTTGAAGCTTGTACGATTATTTTAAATTTTGTCCCAAGGTCTTCAAAATATTAGAGCTACATTCTGTTACTATAGTAAACCGGATAAATACCAAGAGATGGCGCTATCCATTCTTTGGCAATTGTTTCATCATAAATATCTACTGTTCTATCAGTACGGTTTGCGGCGGTTGAGACGCGAGTACACGATTCATTTATCCGATGGCTGCGGTGTGAGGCTCGTGGTTTTATTCTGTGTGTACTCTGTTACCGGTGTTTTCGCGTAAGTATTCAGATATTTGCGTATAGTTTTATATTATTGAAGTAGCTCTAGTGTAAGATATATCGAATGTGCTTTTCTTTGTACATAATAAACTTTCATTTCTAAAAAAAAATGTCACTAAAGTTAAATTTACCATTCTGTTACTGCACAACTATGTTACTAGCTACTGGTAACAGAGTTGTAGAGAGGTAACAGAGTTGTTATTACTAAGCTGTTACAATCCATAGTTGGCGTCTGTGTATCCGTATCTCTGCTTCTATGTTAGTAGGAATCAATATTATATAATAGCTATCTAATAAATTACATCATTTGTTCTAGATAATACATAGTACTTCGCTATGGCTCTCACCGCCGCTGAAAAGCAGCGGCGCTATAAAGAAAAGTGCAAATAAAACCCTGAAGAGGTAGCGGAAACTAAGAAGAAGGATTTAGAGAGATATCATAAAAAAAACGCTTAATAAAAGACATGACTCAACTCAGTATAGAAACTACAGATCTTGTATAGATGGATTGACAGAAGAAAAAATAGCACTACACGTAAATTTCAGCGAAAATTACAATTGCAAGTTCCATGAAGTGATACATTCACACCACTTTCGTGATACTCGTAACCAGGTATCCTTACATACTGGCGTATTGTATAAGCGAAGCTTGGAAAATCGAAACATAGAGGTGAAGTCTTTTTGTACAGTATCAGGTAACCTCTCTCACGGCCCTTCGGCAATCTGGAGTCACCTTCATCCTATACTTTCCTCAATTCAAGACCAATCCCCTAAGATAAAAGTGATACACATATTTTCAGATGACCCGCTACTAAGTACCGCCAGAATCAAAACTTCTGCTTAATATGGACAAACTTTTCTCAAAGTACAACCTCACCAAGCCTACATGGAATTTTTTCGAGTCTGGACACGGCAAAGGAGCAGCTGTTGGTGTTGGTGGCTTTCTAAAACGGACTGCTGACCAGCTTGTTGCTGTTGGGAAAGACATTCTGATAGCGTCTTCGTTCTATCAGTCTCTGAAAGATAGTAGTAGAGTTAAGGTCAATCTTGAACTGATTATGATGTTGAAAGAATCGCGAATGAAATTCCAGCAGAAATTGTTCCTTTCTATGGTATAATGAAAGTACATCAAGTGTACTACTAGTGTATTACAGAAGAAGTGGGAGCGCTGAAATATCGAGAGTTGAGCTGTTTCTGCTAGCTTGGTTTCTCCTCATGAATGAATCCAAAAAACTATTGTCCACTAAAGGATACAGTCGAAGAATCAAAGGAGTAATTCTACTAATCTAGCGGATATAAGTAATTTGATTGAACAGAAAAGGAAATTTTTTTACAATGTAATTTACAGTTCGAGTTCGGAATCAGATGATGATAATCCTTTGCTACGATTAAAAGATAAGGCATCAGATCAACCCTGCTTGTCTAAAGAAAAAAATGATGAGAATCACTTGATTCATAAAGAAAATATTCATCCAAGTAAAATCAAAAAAGGAGTCTAGGTCTTAGTTAAAGTTTACAATTCTGAAAGTAAGTGTTTATCTAGGTAAAGCATTAAGCGAAGTAGACGATGATGGTGAAGTAAAAATTGTCTTTTTAAATTCTGTTCACGATACTAGAAAAACATACAAATTAGTTTAAAATGATATATCATATGAACAATATGAGAGTTTCATAAGAGTTGTTTCAGTACCTAAAAAGTAAATAAAGGCAAAAGGGTATATTACCAGTTCCATACTCCACTAGAGATGAAAAATAAGTTATCTGCTTTGGTATAATTTGATCTCAATAAGATTTTTTAGCTTTTTCCCCTTAAGTTTTATAATCTCGTTAAGTTTCTAAACTTCTTAAAACAATTCATAGCCAAAAATATTGTTTTTTGTGATAGTAGTTCATAAATTTGTTGCGAATAGTACAAATATGTTATTGTTCCTACAACTTTGTTACTTTTGTGTCCCTAAATATATAAGAGTAATGTCTCGAATTTTATGAAAAGCTGA